GGTTAATTTATATTTGTGAAATTCGGATTCTGAAAAAAAAATCTGAAAAAATAGTTCCAAAAATGAGAAATTTCACAAAAAGTCCACATGTTTTTTCCAGCATTTCTCAAATTTTGGTTTTTCCAACATTCAGATTTTTTTCTCAATTTTTCAACAAATTTCAGTTGTTTTGTTTCGAATTTTCAAAAAAAAAATGTGTTTTGAATTTTGAAAATTTTTTCTCAAAATTGGAAACTACGAAAATTCCAAATTCTATTTTTCAAAGTTTCAGACATCAGGTTTTTAAGATCCTGCCCTAATCAATTTTTGGCTTTTTTAGTTCTAGCTTTTTTTCTGAGGAAATTGGATTACCAGTATTGGAATAAACAAGAAAATAGTTAATTCGAAGATCATAAGATGTCCTAAAAGTCTGGAAAATTGAAAAAAAAAGGAAATCAGAAATTATCGTAAACACTCTAATTGCGCTCTAATGAGAAGATGTCGTGGCAAAGGAAAATCATCTAAAAACTGCAGAAAATTTCTATTTTTACGGCATTGCTATGTCACTTTCTCAATAAAGCGCAACAGCATACCACAGCAGTTCAAACCCTGTGGAGCCCACATACCATTAACTATGAGCCCATGTATCTCAGTTCCTTTAAGAGATATCAAAAAGTAGTCAACTGATCAAATGTAGCTGATATTATGATAAACATTTTATTAGTTGACACTTTTTTGATATCTCTCACAGAAAATGAGATACATAGGCTCGTAGTGGACGGTTCGGGCGGCGTTCTATTAGAGTGTTTACGGTAGCTGACAATTTAAAAAAACACTGCTTTGAAATGTTTTTTGAAAATTTCAATCCGAAATTCTTCATTTTTCAATAAAATATTTTTATACTTTAATTTTTCCAAATTCGAACTTTTTCGAATTTTCTAAATTTCAGCATATTTTTCTGAAAATCACGAAATTTCGGAAAATCACAAGAAGTACGTGGGCAGAAAAGACTCAAAAATTGTGTTTCGAGAAATCAGAAATTCCTACATTCACGCTTCAAGAAATTCGCAAGGCATCACTTTTATAGATCACAAGAATTTGCAAAGAAAATTTTTTTTGAAACTTTGGTGCCAAAAATTTTTTAAAGCTTGTAGCTCAGCTAGTTTTTAAGCTAGCATTTTGATTTTCATACAAATCGAAAGAGCAAAAAATTTTACGTATAGTCGAATTGTTTCATAAGTTTTGTGTTGCTACTAGCTGAGCTACGTGGTTATAAGTGCTGTTGACACCATTCCTACCGTACCTCAACCGCGCAGCTCAGCTAGTAGGAGATATTTTAAACAAAAAAATTTATACTTAGAATTTTATGTTCTTTCGATTGGTATAAAAATCAAAAAGCTAGCTTAAAAACTAGCTGAGTTATGACTATTCAAAAAAAACTTCTTTAAAATATCCGCCAGAAATTTTTGAATAGTAATAACTTCGCTAGTTTTTAAGCTAGCACTTTGATTTGAATATCAATCGAAAGAGCATAAAATTTGACAAAAAATACAATGTGTTCAAAAAATCCAGTGTCTCTACCAACTGAGCTACACGGGTGTAAGTTCTGTTGACACCCTTCCTACCGTACCCCAGCACTTACAACCGGTCTGCGTAAAATTTTATGTTCTTTCGTATGGTAAAATAATAATCATAAAACTAACTTTAAAACTAGCTAAGTTATAAGAGTTTAAAAAATTTTCTTGAAAATTTGGCGCCAAAAATTTTTGAACAGTCATAGCTCAGCTAGTTTTCAAGTCAGCTTTTTGATTTGTAAACCAATCGAAAGAGTAAAAAATTTTAAATAAAATAAAATTTGTTTAAAAAATCCCATTTCGCTACTAGCTGAACTACGACTACAGTAGGCAGGGGTACTGAACTCTATACTCTACTTTACTCATCTTCTCTTCTATTTTTCTGTCATGTTTGATATTTTACGAAGCAATACGTCAAAAAAAGGGGGATGTGTAGGAGGAGGGAAAAAAGAAGATATGTTCTTTTCAGAAGACGTCGACGTCTTCTGAATCGGAGACACTCTATGCCTTTAGGGCACAGAAATGAAGTTTGCTTCTAGTTGAATAGGTATAAGGGACAGAGATCAGAAATGTTTGATTTGGAAAACTTTTTTAAATTGGGTCCGAAGATTTTTATGATTTCGAATAGCCTGAATTTGCTTTTAACAATGAAAAGTGAGATTTTTAGCGTTTGTGACCGTGTAGCTGAACTAGTAGTAGCACAGAATTATTGTCTTCAAAACTATTTTATGTAAAATTTTATGCTCTTCCGATTGATATAAAAATTAGCAAGATATCTCGAAAATCAGCTGAGTTATGAGCCCCAAGACAAAACCAGTTTTTTGAAACATAATTAGCTTTGTTATTTTTGGGGGGGGGGGGAATCCTGAAAATTTCATTTTTTAACCAAGTTATTTTTTCAGATGTAAAACATGCTAGAAAACTAGTTCCTTGTACTTTAAAGGATCAGAAAATTTTTGGATTTTCCAAAATTTGGCTATTCAAAAAACAAAATTTTAAAAAAATTAGTGACAGTTATTGGGAGAAATTGGTCCCAAAAGAAAGCAACAAGTCTCAAAATTGCATTAAAAATTGTTTTAAGCACCTGTAAACCCTCGAAAACCCCCCAAAAAATCCAACAGACTAGAAATCGGAACCAAAAAGGTCAAAAAATTGTTTCAAAAGATACTGTAAACACTCTCAACTTTAACTTCTTTTATCTCGGTTACTGTAAGAGATATCAAAAAGTGGTTAATTGATAAAATGTTTATCATGTTATCAGCAATATTTTATCAGTTGACAACTTTTTGATATCTTTCAAAAAAAGTGAGATATATAGGCTCAAATTGCACGGTCCTGGTGGCGTTCTATTAGAGTGTTTACGGTATCTAGAAGGTTCCAAAAAACATGGAATTTTTAGATTTTTTTAAAAAAGATTTTGAAAAAAATTAGAACATTTCTAGAACTTATTAAATCTAATATAATTTTTTTGCAAAATTGGATTTTGATTCGGTTGATCCGGAAAAAAAAATAAACAAAAAGTTTGATTTAATTTGAAAACCAGTGCTCCGCCACCCGTGCATTTTTGCAAATAATTATGGAGAATTGGAAGAAATTTGATTTTTTGGTTTTTCAGAATTTTCGATATTTAGAAACTTTCCATAGATTTTGAATTTTAGGGATGTTCAGAACTTAACGTAAACACTCTAAACTACCCGGACCGTCCACTTTAAGCCTATATATCTCACTTCTTTTGAAAGATATCAAAAAGTTGTCAACTGATAAAATGTTTATCATGATATCAGCTACATTTTATCAGTTGACCACTTTTTGATATCTTTCACAGAAAATTAGATGCATAGGCTCAAATTTGACGATTCGGGTGGAGTTCAATTAGAGTGTTTACGGTATTTTGGAATCTCCAGGATTATTGGATTCTGAAGATTTTGAATTTTTAAAATTTTGAATTTTTTTTTAAATTCAAAATTCAAAAAAAAATTTTTAAAGGCGCATGTTCTTTTAAAAATCTAAGATCTCGAGAAAATTGGAAAAATGAGTCTGGCGAAAAAAAGGGAGATTTAATTAAAAGTGTCAAGTCGCCCCTTTCTTAGGGTTCCTTGTGTACTTTGATGTCCTAAAGCTGAGCAATGGATCAGAGAAAAAAAAATCAGGAATTAATTTTGAATATCTGAAAATTTCTGAAAATCTGAAAATTGGAAAAATTCAAATTCAAAGAATGCAAACATTTGAAAAATTGATTTTTTTTAAAAACTATTAAAATTCCAAAATCATCAAAAATATCAATGAGTCTTTAGGGGGATACGGTCAAAAATGAAATGGGCGGGGACTGGGAAGCTCCGCCCCCTTTTAGATCAATTTTTACGATTCCAGGTGGGATGTGAAGAAGAAGAAAAGCAATAAAAAGGTAAAACACAAAGTATCTCCTGGGAAGCTCCGCCCCCTTTTTTTTTGAAATTTTCTCAAATTTTCTGAAATTGGTCGATTTTTCTGAAAATTAAAAATTTAAAAATTTTCGAAAATTGGAATTTCGAAGTTTCGAAACTTCGGGAATCTGAAAAATCTGATTTTTTAAAAATCCAAAGTTTCCGAAAAAAAATCTGTAAATCTGAAAACTGGAATTCCCGGAAACACTCTAATAGAACGCCATTCAAACCAACCCCCACACGACTAGGCTCCGCCCGCTTCGAAATTCCACTTGGACACGCGACGCACGACCGCGACGCGCCACTGAAAAATCAAAGTGTGCGG